GGGGCAGAGCTTCAGGTCCACAGAGGCTGGCCACTCATTAGTCTGCCATTGCTGGCTGCCTTGTTACCACCCAGTCACAGAAATTAAGGATCTGCTGGCATTTTCCGAGTGTTGTGCATTCCCCAGTGTGTTACGAGTGCAAGGTTTCTCATTAGTTGCCGATAATATGCTCTAACGCATGGTTTAATATGATTTCAGCCTCCTGTGCTTGTGTGAGGCTTCTCAAGGCTTCAGCATTTTTCATGTTCTCTGGAGTTTTGTTAGATGGAGATACTTCCTTAGGTTTGGCCTCTGGACCACAAAAGCAACATCTGCAGGGCTCTCACACAGTGATACGTAGGTGTGCTCCTGGATACATACGTATGTATGTGTATATATACCCAGAATCTGCATTTGGGGACTGGCTCCTCAGGTGTGCACTCACCATGGCTCACTGGGAGATCCTGGGCTTTGCCTTGTGCTCCTACCTCGGGGCAGCACGGGCTGCAACTGTAAGTACAAAGGCATTTCTTACGGATTTAAGACTTTATAAGTGGGGGGGGTGTCTGTCTGGGGGCACCTCCAGCCAGGGTAAGGTCCTGGCAACGTGGGTATCCAGAGGCACGAGGGGCTGTGCCACAGACTTACCCATCTCAATGCAATGCAACAGGGAACTGAGAAAAAAGGAGACATGCGGTGGACATACCGCTGCCAGGTAAGAACATGTGCTCGGGTATTAGCAGGCACCAAGAATAAACACTCTTAGAAATGCTAGGAAAAACCCCTGAAGCCAAGCTTTCTATCAACGGGAGGCCCAAGGCCAAAGCAGCCAGAAATCACTTGTGCCAGAGTTCAGTTACTTCCCAGCCGTTTTCAAAATTCCTCTGTCTGGGAAGACTGCAGTGATTTGGATGTCTAATTCTGCCTGAGCAGGTAATGACGTTACCAGCCCTGTCTGTACAATACGATCCTTTCACTTCCAAAAGATCAGGCTTTAAACTAGTATCTACGTAGCCGAAGGCACAGAGGAATTCTGGATAGTGCAGCTGCATCTTTAATACCCACACTCGGAATCACCACACCATCCAAGTATGTGCAATTGTAAAATAGAAAATAAACATGCTGGCCACGCTAGGAAACGAGCCCTTGAGCGCCAAAGGAACGATGCCTCCAACCAAGGCAGACCACTGTCTCCACACCACAAGGCCCAACCATTGCATTTGCTCTTAAAGCCATTGCTTCTAGCAAAAGGAGTAAAACCAGTAAGTCCGACGTCACATTTATGCAACTGGAAAATGCACCAGTCCCAAAAACTCGCAGGTTCAAATGAATAGGGTTCATTTGAAAATCGGGCGCCGGTCCCTCAAAACAACAAGCCCCTATCTTAATTCAAGCACAAAACAAAGCTCAGCTCAGCAGAGTTAACGTAAGGTCCGAACGACAGGTGTGAGTGCCGCCGCCTCCGCAGGCAGGTCCATTCCTTTTTCTCCAGGAACGTGCCAGCATTTTGGGGAAGGAGGACAGGAGAACCCCCACCTTGGGGCAGAGACATTTGAGCATCAGTATTTTATTGCAAAGACTAATTACATTGCTGTGTACAAGTCACACCAGGCAGTGTGCTCCTTCATTGAAGTGGTACAAAATACATATGGTACAGCCAGTCCCTCCGGTGACGCTGGGCTGCTGGGGGACGCTGGTGGGAGGGGAGGGGGATGGCAGGGGCCAGCATGGCCCCGTGTTGGGTTTGAGCTTTTTGGCACGGAGCTTATGGTTGCCTCGGGGGTGTTGATGCCCGAGGGCAGGAGCCAGGCTCTGGGCAGGCTGGGAGGCAGGAGGCTGCCCCTGCGTCAGGGAGCCAGGAGCTCTCATCATGTGCAGCGATGGGCAATGCCACCCGAGGGGACCACGGGGCCGGCAGGGCTCAGTGCCGGCCACGCTCACACCCAAGCAGCCTCTTCCCCACCTGGTGCCAGGGGCCCGCAGCCCAGCTCCTGCCACCGGCCCCCCGAGCGTGGCTGCATCCCCAGGCCCCTCTCCTGGAGCCGGGGAAGGCGCTGCACCCGCCCGGCAGCACGGGCAGACGGGAAACGGAAAAGATGTGCTGGAAGGAAGCGCTTAAAGAAAGAGATGGAGCCAGGAGCGAAAAAAGGTCCCCCTTCGGTTAGTGTTTCCAACAGTGATTAAAACAAGCATCTCTGCCCCTGCTCGAGCGACTAGTGGTAGAGAAAGAAGGGAGGGGGTGGCCGGTGCAGTCTGCACCCCGTGAAGACGGCACAGCAACACTGCTGCTGCCGACGTCCCTCCCAGCAGCCTTAAATACCAGGGTGGGGAGGTGGAGAGAAGAGAGGGACTGGGCTGCAGGGCAGGGGGAGGCTGGATTAGTAAAATGTACAAGTTCGTCTCTTCTATTTACAACCAATAAATATTGAAAAAAAAAAATCAGTAAACTTTTTTGTTTTATACAAAAAAAGTCTCATTGCTGCTTCTCCCATGGTCAGCGTTTGAAAAGTCCAGTTAAAGCCCAAGGTGAGTGGCACTTTCTGCGTGCGGGTCAGGCGGTGGCAGCCGGGGCACCCAGAGCACCCTGAGCTCTCTGGCTCCTCGCAGACCCAAGGTCTCTATTTACACAAGTTCAGACAGAAATTCACTTTCCTCCTCCTCGTTAGGCTGGCAGCGCTGGGGGCACAGCGCAAAGCTTCCCCTGCCGGTAGAAGAGACACTGGCGTTTGATCTTTGGTGCAAGTTTGAATGCAGTCCAGCTGGAGGACGTGCTGGATCGGGGAGAGGAGTGAGACCGCGCAAGCTTCCAGTCTTCAAGAGCACGAGGTGCTCGCTCCATCACGGCACAGACACAGCCCTCCTCCACGGGGCTCCGAGCACCGGTGCGGGGCTGCATCCTCTCCAGCTCGCCTCCCAGCCTGGGGCGTCCGCAGCATCTCCCCAGGGGAAGGACAGGCAGAGATGCGTGGCGGTGGCGATGCCAGTCATCCTGGGGAGGAAGGACGTGGAGGTAAAACAACGCCAGGAAAGCCAGGAAGGAGAGTACCCCACCGTGTGGGAGGCTTTGCAGCCCCAGGATGATGGCTCACGCTCTGCTCCTTGCAAACGGCCCCTCTGCGAGTCACCGCTCCCCGGCTTGCTTGGACACAAGGCACCTACGGCAGAGGCGGGCTCCAGCTCTGGGCTGGCCGGCAGCTGGACTAGTGTCGCACCGTTGAGGGAATTAAAAAAAAAAAAAAAAAGAAAAAGAAAATAGAGATATCCCCCCGCTGCCTTCCTGTGTAGAAAAAAAGACCTGATTGAAACGGGAGCTTGTGCAGAGAGAGGCGGAGGCCGACACCGGTTGCCAAAGCACCCCAGCTCTCAGTGCGGGAGGGAGATGCACGGCTGTCCCCCGTGGGCGAGGGTCGCTCCTCTCGCCGTGCCAGGCGGCACAAGGACTGACCGCAGCCGAGCTCGGAGCAGCCTGCCCCCAAGGCCCCGTCGGTGATGGGTGGCAGTGGGGCTGAGGCTAGAAGATGCCTTTGGCAATCTTCAGGCCTTTCTGCTTCATCCTGGGCAGGGTGGAGCTGGAGCCGTGCTTGATCTTCACCCCCTTGGAGAAGCCCCGCTTCTTGAGCACAAAGTCGTAGTTTGCGGCAGAGTTCATGGCGTAGAAGACGTTGGCGTTGTCGGGGATCTTCAGCTCTGGAAGTGACCAAGAATGGGGGTCAGTCAGGCACCCTTTCCCTGAAAGGGGTCCAGAGTGGGGCTAAGAGTTGTCCCCGGGTGCTGGGACCCCTCTTGCTGTCAAGACCCCTCCCAGCCCAGCTCCGACCTGATGCTGCCCAGGCTGCAGGGCTGTGTGGCCGGCCGGGGACACAGCCCCCAGGAAAGCCCCACACACCCCAGCACACACCTCTCTCCTCCCAGATGATCTGAACGAGCTCATAGTCTTCAGGCCGGTCCCCATCCAAGTTGTGTTTGGCCATGGCTTTGCGAATAACGACTGGGGTCTTATCCTGGCTCGTCACCTGTGAGCGCAGAGTGTTATTAACCCAGGGGGTGCAAAATGCTGCAAAGCCTCCCACCACCGCCTCCTCCCCAAACGGGCCATGCCTGCATCCGAGCGGGGCGAGCCACCCCTCCTCGGCGTCACCGCGGGTGCCCTGTACTAACCAGAATGCTCTTGTACATGTTGCCGTTGTCCACAGCCAGGCTGACGCGGATGATGCAGCAGTCGTCGACCTGCTGGTTGTACAGGGGCAGCGAGAGGGAGGAGTAGCTGGAGATGCCGGAGACCGAACGCTTGTGGGTGCGGGAGGCTGTCACCGGCGTAGAGGAGACGGAAGAGGACGAGGCACTGCTGGAGCCTGAGCCGATGCCCGATGTGTCCAGGGAGGAGAGGGAGGTGGATTCCCAGAACTGGAGGGCAGGGAGGAGAGGGGATGCGGAGGACACAGTGGTTTTAGCTTCTCCATCGGCCACAGACGGGGCGTACCAGCGCTGGGGAAGGGAGGCCAGAGGGATCTCACTGACCTGTGACAATGGGGGACCGACACGACTACAGCTGCTGGAGGCGCAAGAGCCCCGCCACGCTGCTGGAGCAGCAGCGGGGCGGGGGCTCCC